ATATCTCTCGAATTTCTTGGTTGTTGGCGGAGTGGAATGATTTGATGACAGATGTGTTTGTGAATATTATAACCCGCGACCTGTGAGGAATCTTCCTCCGAAATATTGGCGGATAGGAATGGGTTTTTGAATGTTAATCCGCCGTCTGTGTCGGAAAAAGTGTATGAATATTATAACCCGCGACCTGTGAGGAATCTTCCTCCGAAATATTGGCGGATAGGAATGGGTTTTTGAATGTTATACCCGCCGTCTGTGTCGGAAAAAAGGTATGAAACTGATGTGAATTGATTTGGTGAATGAAAAGTTGAATGCACTTTTTATTGTCACCGGTCTTTTTACGAGGAAATACCTCTAAATTCTATCGGGAGAATTTTAAAATGTCACAACTGAATTGGGCAGTTGAAATTAAACATTTTGGTAATAAATGTAAGACTGAATTAAAGTTTCATATTTGAACATGATCACAGCACCATTTTTTTAGTATGATTATAATGTTGTAAAGAGAGAAGGTAAAAACCCTGTATTAGTTTGGACCTATTTTTCTTCAAATAAACTGATCCCACCTGTTGGACTGGGATAACTTAAAAGACAACCTGTGCACTCCTCTCCTGCTTCAAATGTAAGACTGCACCCTGCCACACACACTTAGGTAGGAGCACACTCCATTTACTGATATCAAAATCCTTCGGGATCCCTTAAACAGATTAAAAAAGAGTTGTCTGAATTGAAACAGCAGTTAATTGAACCTGGTTCTTCGGGGAGTTACTAGAGGTGAGATCTTGCTGACGTTGGTGGATCTGAGCCAAGCCACAAACTTACATAGACTCAATAACTTCGGTCAGGTCAATTAGTAGGTCAGAGTAATTTACCGGAATAAATTATCAGGACCTCTAAACATCAGCCACAAACCACATGTGCTAGATAAGCCTCTCAGCCCAATTGAGCGTACAAGTGAATATATCCAACAACACTCAGAGCTGTCTAGCTTTGCGAGGGCAGAACAGACATGTTTATATGAGGACCCCCTTGCTGGTTCTAGAAATATTTTATATACAATTGTTTTTTCTAGTTCACTTTTTGTACTAAGATTATTTTTGTAATCATGCATGGTATTTTTTTTAATTAAACTTTTTTTTTCTTTAATCTCACGTACCCCTGCAGGTCCGCCTACCCCCATTTGAGAATCACTGCTCTAAAGCACCGCAGTCTCTTCTCCTAAATCCTTTTGAATTCTCCTATCCACTATCCCTTAACCCCGTGACGTTTCACTCAGAGGTCAAGGAATAGGAGATAGGGTTAGAACTTAGGAGCTGATTTTTAAACTATCCGAACGCAACCCTCATTTCTCTAAATGCACTTCGAGGACCGAGCATCGAGGAGGCTCTCTGGAGGAGCTCTAACCGAGGAGACACTGATGTATCCTCCACGGATGCATTTCCGGGAATGGTGGAGGTGTGACGCACGGCCGGACTTATCTCAGCCAATGACAGCTCTGCATGCATCCCTTGGATATTATATTAGTAACTAGGCTTGTTTGAGACAAGCGAGACCTGCGCAGTTGCGATCAACGTCTTGCTAGTACGTTGCATGATGGTTAGTCATTTTGTCCGACTTGCTCTGGAGGCTCGCCTACATGAGACGTTGAAATCTCGCGGGACAAAGACGCCCGCAGCCTTGAGAGCGAGGCGTGGCGAGGCGGCACAGTTCCTCTCCACGGGCTGCGGAAGCGAAATGCTTGATGGGAAACGACTCGCTGGTATCTCGAGCTGAGCGCTCATTGGTGGTTTTTTCCACGTGCTGCTGATGAAACTCTCCAATTGGCTCAGCAAAAGTTTGTTGTTATTTTGTGTCAGTTTTACGTCGCCACATCCATTCCCATTTTTCATCATTGTTCCACAATGTTTATCATCATGAAATTAATATCTATATATGTTATACTATACTTGCACTGCTTACCGTTTTCATACTTTATATATCTTAGCATATTCATACACACTGTTCATACTGCTCACAGGCTGATATCTAGTGTATTCATACCCCTCACTGTTTATTCATCATTCAATTCATTCTATATTTTATTCTGTCTATTGTGTACATTACTTTTCACTTTACTGCTTGTTGCACCTGGTTAGAAGCTAAACTGCATTTCGTTGTCTCAGTACCTGTAATATGTGCAATAACAATAAAGTTGAATCTAATCTTGAGCAGAAACAAATGTATTTACTTAGTACATATCTGACATTAACGATTAAACACGTGTGTATTCTTTATAAATGCAAACCGAGTCAAGCCGACTCCGGAGGTGGCGGTATGCACCTTAAAGTTGTTTGCAATCCGCCAAAAAACCGAGAGAAGAAGAAGAAGAAGGCGAAGAAGAAGATGAAGAAGAAGAAGAGGAAGCTGACTCCGAGCTGTCCGACTTCAGGCGAGCTTTTTGAGACCTCCCCCGGCTGCGATCGGCTATTCTCGTCTACTTTCGAGGCGAGCCGCAACGCGTCTCAAACAAGCCTATTGCTTTCATCGCAACGCGATGTTTACAGTGAGAACAGCTGTGAGGTCCGTGCAGAAAGCAGAGCAGTGTGTAAAATATATATCACTCAGTATAACAGGCCTACATTACTTTCTGTATTTGTATGCTGTAGTTTAGTAGATATCTACAAACAAAGAGTCGATATTTTTCTAAGACCATTTAGTGCTTCACATTATCAAATACACAACGGCTGTAGCCTGATTATGCTTTAGGAGCAGTAGCCTATGTGTGTGTGGTACAGTGTGTAGGTGTGTGTGTGTGGTACAGTGCGTAGATGCGGCGGACAGACGGGTCTCAGTTGGTTTGATGTCCTATGCTTGCTTTTAATACTTGTACAACTTTTGGCCCGTAATTTCAATTCCCCATTTCAGCGACCAGAGAGAGGGGGGGGGGGGGGATATATCCAGTCTCTGATTGTGTTACGTTATTATGAGAGTGCTCTCATACTTGTTTGATTCTGAAATTGTATATATTTATATAAATATATGTGTGTAGGCCTATATGTCCGCATCTGTAGCCTGTTATTGTCTCGTTATACCGCACTGTGAATGAATTAAAAGTAAATATATAAGTCATCATGAACACATCTGTCCATCAGACAGAGGGCTGCTGTGCCTCCTGTCATCATTAATGGACGTCTCTTTAAAATGACCGCTCAGAGGAGAGGAGTTCTCATTTCTCTAACCGCCTGCTGCTTCCACTCCTCTCTCCTCGGTTCCCCTCCTCAGTCCTCCGCTCGCATCTCCTGTGGGCGGGACTAAGTCTCGAGGATAGGAGTCGAGGAGGGGAAATTTAAGAATTGAGAATTGAATTGAATTTTGTAAGATTGCAAGGGGGGGCATATTGTGATAAGCAGGCATGTCATAAAATGCACCCCACCCAAAAAGATGGTTCTCTTATTCCCACCCTCAAGCATTTTTCAGGGTATGGTTGTAGGACTAGTACCAATGAATGGAGCAAGTTTCATGAATGTGACCCTTTTATTTTGTAAGATAGCAAGGGGGTGCATATTGTGATAAGCAGGCCTGTCATAAAATGCACCCCACCCAAAAAGATGGTTCTCTTATTCCCACCCTCAAGCATTTTTCAGGGTATGGTTGTAGGACTAGTACCAATGAATGGAGCAAGTTTCATGAATGTAACACTTTTATTTTGTAAGATAGCAAGGGGTGCATAGCGTGGCAAAAATATGCTGACAAAGACTATGTAACATTTGTAAACATATATTTTGATTATTAGATGACAACTATGTAAAATTAAACAATATTTAAAGCACGTTTATACAGACAGGACGTAACAATAGCTAATAATTTTTTTTTTTTTAAACTGAAAAGGAAGTGATGAATGAATTTCGACACCACTCCCATCAAATACGGAGCAAACAGTTAAACCAGAAAAATCAAGACTATATGAGCTACCACTAACAGAGCGTCCACACAGCAGCGTGCGTTGACGCTTGGAGGTGGGAGTATCTGAAGCTTGGGGATTTTTTGCGAGCAACGCGACCAACAACCAATCACATGAATCTCCCGCCCCCGACATACAAAGCAATAGCAATGTTAAAACGAAGTAAACTGGATATAAAATCCCCAAACAGGCGAAAACCTACCACCTCCCTCCATGCCTCGCTCCTCCGGTTTGTATCCCGGTAGATGAACAGAGACTGATCATACAGCACCGGGTGATTCACTACCGCTATAATGAATTTTCCCTCCATTTTTTGGAATATGAGGAAATGACCTGCGTAGTCTCTCCCAGCATACACGCGGTTTGATTGGCTAGCGCTTGTACTGGCAGATTTGCATAAACGGGATTTCATTGGCTGACGCCTCCGTTGAGGCGTCAAAATTGGAACATTGCTCAACTTTTGAAGCCAGCAACGCTCCACGTCGCTTCCCAAAATGCAGTTCGGCTAAAAGTGACGTCACCCCATTCAAAGCGAATGGGCAGAAGCGTTGGAAGCTTCAACGCACGCCGCTGTGTGGACGGGCCGTAAACAACTTACAGTCTGAAAATTACAATGAATAAAAACCCTGAACGTTTACTTTTCGTTTTAAACATCGTTTTAAGGTGTAAACGTGTCATTTAGAAATGCGCGTTCCCGTCACAAGGGGGGCATTTCATGACGGGGGGGCATAATTTGACACAACACCGGCACTTAGTGCCCCGGCACTTATTACCCCAGGGCACTAAGTACCAATCGCGTTCACACCGGAGTACTTTTCCCTGAGGGAAGATTACGCAAATTAGCCGCTGACGTCACTTCTTATTCTTCTGCTTTGGGTTTACTGGCAGGCTGCAAACAACTTCACGGCGCATACTGCCACCCGGAGTCCCCGGCCGGAAGTCCCGGGAGTTGGGGACTGTGTTGTGTTCTGATATACTCCTGCCAATAGGGGGTGCAGTGTAACCAGAGTAACATAGAATGTTGGGAGAATAAGTGTATGCCCGGGAGTTGGTGTGGCGGGAAAGCATGAACAACAGTAAAGAGCTTAGTAGCCGTATCCTCTGTCCCTTCATTCATGTTTTTTGACTAATACACAACAAATTGGCGACGAGGATGGCCGTGGCTTCTACTCCTTTACCTCCCACCTTTCTTCAGTGTCCGGGAGAACCTACTATGCCATTTGGAACATGGCTAAAAATGTTTGAAAACGATCTGCTAGTGATCGACGTGGAAGGAGCCAAGTGGCCGGATACCCGTGTACGTGCTACGCTGCTACACAGCGTCGGAACCGAAGCACAGAGGATTTTCTACACATTGACTGAAACGGGAACTACATACAACCATGCCGTGACTGCACTATGGGCGCATTTCGTGCCGAAGGTAAACGTAATTGCGGAGAGACACAAGTTCCGCCAACGAGCCCAGAGACATGATGAAACAATTGCACAGTACGTCTCTGCGCTACGTGAAATGATCGTTTTGTGTGCATTTGGAAATGCAGAACAGGATATGCTGCGTGATCAGATTGTGGAAAAAGCCTACAGTGGACGCATACGTGAACGCTTGCTGCTAGAAGACAAACTGACACTGGATAAAGCCATTCAGACTGCAAATCAGGTGGAAACGGCGGTGCGCAACGTGGCCGAGTTCTCCAACAGTGAAGTGCCTGTGAGAGAGATCAGGGTGCCAAAATGGGAACAAAAACTTCCCGCTACAAGTAAACAAAGGAAAGGTGAGAGAAAGTCTGAGCAAGCACAAAGATGTTACAGATGTGATTCAGATAAACATATGGCCAATTCCACACAATGCCCTGCTACAAAATATGCAAATCCTGTGGAAAAACTGGGCATTTTGCCAAAGTGTGTCGTTCAGAACAAAAACGTGAAGTGAGGGAGGTCGTTATTCCAGAACTGACTGTTTTATTGCTGAATAATACTGCCCCAAAAGAGAAGAAAATAATGTGCACTGTAGATTTGGGACTTTCTCCTGCTAACCAGTCATTTGAGATGATAGTAGATACTGGTTCTTCAGTGTCACTGCTGCCTGCTCATGTGTACGAGACCTACTTCAGTCACATACCACTGAAACCTACAAAGGTTCCTCTAGTCACATACTCAAGACAGAGAATCCCAGTACTAGGGAAACTGCATTTACGTGCATTCCATGACGGAAATACTGCCCCAGCTACCCTTTTCATTGTGAAGTCAGGTTCAATACTGCTGGGCCTGGACCTGTTTGAGGCACTGGAAATGATCATCATGAGAAACAGTGTGGTACTGAAGTCAGAGCAGACAGTCAGAGAGATAACAACCCCACCTGCAACTCCTACTACATCTGCACCTGCTAATACAGCTTTACCTATGGGCTGTGTTAGGAACGATGACCACATTGCAGCTATTCGGGATGCTCCATCACCCAGTGACTCTCAGGTCTTTTCTTGGCCTAACATCGTGGTACTCCAAGTTCATACAGAACTATGCAACTGTGGTGGAACCAATGAGAGATGTGCTACGCAGAGCTACATTCACATGGACTGATGAGGCACAGAGTAGTTTTCAGCAGGTTAAATTACTCATCACAGACAGTTAATCACTTGCTCTTTTTGACCCGTCACTGCCCACCATAGTGTCTACAGATGCCTCAGACTATGGCATAGGTGGGGTGCTGATGACACAGATACATCCTGACAACACTGAAAGAACAGTGGCATTTGCTTCCCGCTCTCTTAGTGCTGCAGAGAGAAAGTACTCTGTGGTAGAAAAATAAGCTTTGGCCTGTGTGTGGGCTGCAGAGCATTGGAGAACCTACTTGTGGGGAACAAAGTTCACCTTAAGGACTGATCACCAAGCTTTGACCACACTCTTGGCTACAAAAGGCATGGGGAGAGCTGGTATGAGAGTAGCACGCTGGTCTGCCAGGCTACTCTGCTTCAACTATGATATTGTCTACAGACCCGGTGCTCAGAACCATGCAGCAGATTGCCTTTCCCGTCTGCCACTGCCACACGGACAGGACTGCACCTCAGACACGGAACCAGAGACTGTTGCTGCTGTCTCTGCCCTGCTGACTGCTGTTCCCTCGTCTGACTTCACAGATGCCTGCACTTCCCCCCCCCCGCGGCATTATAATGTCCGTCTTTTCACTGAATTGTCATCTTGAAAAGGGTACTCACAACAATTCCGCAATTACTTCATCTTCACCTGTTGCACTTGTCATTTCAACGTTAAAAACAATAAAACGGCATTAATTGCTTTGTCGCATTCATCTAGATCCTCGGTCTCGAGCCAGTTAACTAGCGGGCCTTCTAGAGTAACCTGGAACCGAGGGAAACTCTGAAAGAATACACCCATTGGCTACAAATCAATATATAATTGGTTGATCAAACTGTCAGTCCAAACGTACGCTCTCATTCAGTGCAACGGCCAGGGCATCAAGGATGTAGAATACCTTGGTTGAAGGAGATTCTACCCAGAGACCAGAACAAGATCTGATTGGTTGCTTTCTTTTCTAACACAAAACCACTGAAATGCGTAGTGCATGGTCTGAGAAAGACAAACAAATCAACGTAACACTGTAATATTACAGATCAACAACACGGATACCATTCTCATTTATTCATTTTATATAAATTGTATTACATTTTATTTATATAATTAAATCGATTTTGTTTGTTTTATCTGAGTGTTCCAGTGTATTCTCTGAATACCTTGAAGGCCCTGATGGTTCGCCACTGCATCCAACACATCAGGACTACCATCTACCATCCAGAAGGAAATGGAGATGTGGAGAGGCTAAATAGAGTGCTGAAGGAAAGCATTCTCACTGCACAGAGAGAGAACGCTCCGTGGAAAGCTCACGTTGCTGAGTTTCTTCAGGTCTACAGAGCTACACCTCACGCCACTCCAGGGACATCTCCTTTCCAGCTCATGTATGGAAGAAAAATACGAACCAAACTCTCAATCCTGCCACAGCTTACTGATACTCAGGATCAGGAACTGAGAGACAGAGTGGAAAAGAAACAGTGGCACATGAAAACATACACTGACGCAAAAAGAAATGCCAAGATTCCCAAAATACATCCGGGAAGCCTGGTGCGTGTGAGAAACCCGCTGCATGTCAAAAAGGGAAAGCCAAAGTTCAGTGAGCCTCTGAAAGTGACCCAGCAGAAGGGACCTCACAGTTACACGCTGGAAAAACCTGGGATGCTTCACACCTGTTGGTTCTTCCAGAAACATTCACTCCTCCATCAGAAGAAGGAGAGAATGTCAACAGGCCAACTGTAGCTGGCCTGCTGAGCCAGCTACAGTTGATGGTGCTCAGAGCAGGAACCAGCGAATCAGAAAGCAGCCTGCTTGGATTGAGGACTATGTCACTTAAACTGTGGTTGAATCATGGGTTGAATTCATGTTTGAAAATGTTCTGCATATTGTGATATGTGAAGTTGTTATTATTATTATTACAGATGGTTACTACAGAAGTGTCTGTTTAAAATGCTAATGTTATGCATACTGTTCAAGTGGAGAAGTAACTATTTTAAGAAGGTGGGAAATGTTGGGTTCTGATATACTCCTGCCAATAGGGGGCGCAGTGTAACCAGAGTAACATAGAATGTTGGGAGAATAAGTGTATGCCCGGGAGTTGATGCTGTGGCGGGAAAGCATGAACAACAGTAAAGAGCTTACCCAGCTAGAAATGTTTGGTTCTAAAAACATTCTGAGAATGTTTTATTCATTGTTCTAGGAATGTTTTCAGCGGGAAGTTTTCTTTTGGTTCCCAGAACGTTCTTCTGAAAGGTAGGATAACGTTCTCTAAAAACATTCTTAAAGTGTTTGGTGATAACCTTCTTAAAATGTTTTTGATAACATTGTTAGAACATTATGCCCTACTGTTCTTAAAATGTTTTCAGCTGCAAGTTAGATTTGTTTTTGTTGCCAGAATGTTATTATTTTAGAGAAGGATAACATGCTTTATGTTTAAAACGTTATGCAAATGTTCTGTGGTAACAATTTACTAAAATATTTTTACATTATTAGAACATAAAGACATAATATTCCTGTAATTGTTCAACTCAAAATTCCTGGGTAAGTGGACTGACCACTGTGGTCATTTGGATGATTTTGATAGTTTACTTAACTATTGGAATCAGATAACCTACATACGAGACACGACCTTTATAGTCAGAAAAAAGTGTGATTATTTTCGGATATTTTACACATATGATATTATGAATACTGTGGGCCTACATACCTTAGTGTGATTATAAGTGCACGTGAGTGAATATTGGCATGCAACAAGTTTGTTTTTTAAAGCGCTCTAGAAATAAATCTGACGTTGACCATGACCGTGTTAATATTTGCCATAACAGGAACGTTTTATAAAAAAAAGAATAACATCCTGAAAACATTTTCAGAATGTTTCTTGGAGAATGTTCTTCATTTGTTATCATGTAACATTGAGGGAACGTTTTATAAAGAACATCTTTAATGTGTTACCCAACAATGTCCAAAACACATCCTTAGAATGTTGCAGGCAAAACGTTCCACCTTTGTTAACATATCACATTAAAGGAACGTTTTATAAAACACTTTCTGTCATCTCAGGCCTCAATAACATCCTGAAAACATTTGCAGAATGTTGCTTGGAGAATGTTCTTCATTTGTTATCATGTAACATTAAAGGTGGGGTAGGTAAGTTTGAGAAACCGGCTCGAGATACACTTTTTGTTATATTCCATGGAATGCTCTTAACATCCCGATAGCAATGAATATCTTAAGTGCTTTGACAAAAAATCCATTAAAAAATGTCATCTGTGGAAGCCGTAGTACTGTAAAAAGCACGACCAATAATTTTAGCCGGCCCGGCTCAAATAACTGGATGGCCTACCTGCCTGTCAGCCTTCCATCTGTGCACAAACTTATCTCGTGCCCTCATTGGTCATGTGCACGTTCGTGTGTGTTGGAGGAGGAGCTCTGTAAGGAAGTGGCAGATTTGTTCGGGCTGTGTATTTTCAAATTCTAGCGTACTCGAGCTGATTTCTCCAAAATGACCTACCCCACCTTTAAAGGAACATTTTATAAAACCCTTTCTGTCATCTCAGGCCTCAATAACATCCTCAAAACATCCTCTGAATGTTGCAGTTAAAACGTTATGTCTTAGTTAACCTTAAACCTTATAGGAACATTATTTGAAAAAATAAACATCCTAAAAAGGTTCTTTGAACATCAGATTAAAAAATTTCTTTAAAACCTTATTAGAACCAATAGGTAACGTTAGCCAAAGTTGTGAGAACGTTCCCCGCTAGCTGGGTAGTACCCGTATCGTCTGTCCCTTGCTTCATTAATGTATTTTTACTAATACACAATAGACTGGCTTCAGTAGAAGCTACGGGGACTCCTAGCAGCTTCTACTGAAGCCTTCCGAGTAAATCGCCAGAACGCCGACACCTCCTCATCACTCCACCGCTCCCATGTTTTTTTTTGTGTTGCCATAAGTTATTCTCTCTCCGTTGGTGAGCGGGGGTAATGCTAATGCTAATAATGCTAATGCCACAAATACAATGGCGGCTTCACAAAACTTTTTCAGAGTTTTACGGGGCGTGGTTTGCAATTCGCACAGCCAATCAGAACTGGGGCACTTTTTCCCACCAGGATAGTACCACCTCTCTAGCAGGCACTAAAAATGTGGGTAAAAGTTCCCGGCACTAAGTACTCCTTTTGGTGTGAACGCAACATAAGGGGTACTAACGGAACTAAAGGGGAAAAGTACGGGGAAAAGTACTCCGGTGTGAACACGGCTAATGTACAAGTCGAGTCCTAGTCATCGTGGGGGGAAAAATTCACGAGTCCGAGTCCAAGTCAGAGCGTCAATGTACAAGTCAAGTCCGAGTCATCGTGGGGGGGAAAATTCACGAGTCCGAGTCCAAGTCAGAGCGTCAATGTACAAGTCGAGTCCGAGTCATCGTGGGGGGGGAAATTCACGAGTCCGAGTCCAAGTCAGCGTACGCGAGAATTCACGAGTCCAAGTCCGAGTCATATCAATCAGTGCGCGAGTCCGAGTTGAGTCACGAAAATTGGCACTCGAGTCCGACTCGAGTCCTCCATCTCTGTGTTGATGTGACTACAGTAATGAGTTGGTACAAGAATATGGAGCAGCAACATGGATAATCATGATAAAAATACCGGCAGGTGTTGCATCGGACTCAGCGAAGATGGTGGAAACCAATCATAATGTAATATCTTATAATTGTTTGGTATAATATAGTATGTTTTATTCATATATTTACATATTTTAGAACAGCTTCAATACCTTCTCAATAACTGTAAGACAGCTGTTCAGGATCTGGCAGAATACAAACACAGTCAGTAAAGTCAGGTTAGGCAATAGGCAGGAATAAAATAAGCTGCATATACATTTATTTTGTAAAAATCGAATTGAAAGATAGGTTATGCATAGTATAGTTATTAGTATTTCTCAAGTAGTGCAAAAATAATATAAAGTTTTCAGGACTTTGCTTATACAGCAATCCTACTATTTTGAAGCAACACAAATGTAGTTTTACTTACTGCATCACTAGGACATGCACATCCTAGTAGCGACAGCGCACATTTGACAGCAAATAAGTGAGACTTAAAATCAACACATTTTAAACTGCAGCAAAAACAAATTAGTTAATTTATTCAGGGCTACTTACCTCCATCATACTCTGACGCTATGATTAACAGAACAGAACTGCTACTCCGGAAACAGGATAAAACGCGTAATCTGTGAAGCTCCGCCCACGTTGAGCTCCCGCCCACATAGAGTGGCGAAGTCACGCCCATCTACTTCCGGTCCATGGGACCTAATTTCGGAAAAATAATGTATTGAAGTCAATGGAGGGAGAAAACGTATCTTTCGATCCCGTTTGAATTGTGTCATGAATTACACATATGTGACCCGCTCTATCGAAATCAGTCGGAAGTCGCAACGGCTCATTTAAAAATAAACGTGGATTTAGGTAAAAAAATAGTTATTCGGGGTTCGGGTGTTTTGTTTGATTTTAAATAAACAAAGTCTTGGCTTTCAGAATATGAAACTTTTATTTCCAAAATCACACGATAAATACATTTTTTAAGCTTGTAAAGGGAAGATGACAGCCACCTCTCACTCTCCACTCTGCTCTTCTGCAGCGCCGCCCCCCTCCCTCCGGCTGAAATTATGAATGTAAGCGTATAGTAATCATAGATAACACGGCAGGGTCCGTTACAGTTTGTTTTCATCTGATTTCAAATAAACAAAGTCTTGGCTTTCAGAATATTAAACTTGTTTTGGCGAATTCAGATGATAAATACAACTTTGAAGCTTGTAACGGCATAATTACAAGCGGAGAACGGAGTAACTTGACGTCACAGCAGGCATAACAACAGCCGGTGTTTCTCGTGAGGGTTTTCCCCGGGAAACAAACACAATACACACAAACGCAAAAATACACAAACACACACGCATGCATACACACGCTCGCGAGCTTCCCCCAGACCAGTAATCCAAACTAACATATTTTCCCTCCTTACTACTTTGATCATTTGCTCCGCTAATAATCAATCAGATCGATGGATTCCAGAGAAGAGGAAACTTTGAAGGCCTTTTTCTCAAAATGATGACTCTGTAACAGTCATTATAATGTGACATATTTCGCTTAATATTTGGAGTACAACAACAATCCTGATATCATTAGAAAGCTAGGAATCTCCTCCTTCCAACAGTGTATACAGCTCAAAATATGTCTTTGGGTCAATGCAACTTATTTCGACGGAGCAGGTCACATATGATGTTTGTCAATCTTAAAAAATAATTTCCATATCAAAAAAGTCACAGTTTGTCGTAAAACTGTTGAGATATAAGACTATGAAAAATATGCAACTAGAAAGACTACAAATCCCAGAGTCGCGTAAGTGATGTCACAATTGTTTTCCTCCACTAAGAGATAGCTAAGATCAGCGCCATATAGATATAATCTATCTATATGGCGCTGGTTAAGATAACTTTAACAAGATGCCTGTGTGCTTAGTACCAGGTTGTTATCATACCAGCAATGGGTCTTGCTCGTTCTTTCGCTTCCCGTCTGATGAAAGGACCAGGAGTGGCTGGATCAAGTTAGCTACCTAGCTAGTAGCTAGCACGTTAGTTAGCATTGCAGCCTTGTCATTTTTATTAGCCTTAATATGAAGTAACATTAAGTAACCCAAAATGTTAAACAGTAAGAGTAGTAGTCATATTTCGTGAACCCTTTGAAGAGTACTGTCACCAGTGTGATCATTCTATCAGGCATGAAAACGGGTCAGGGGTGAAAAAGGTGAGAAGTATTATATCCCTCTAGGGGGGTCCGGGGGCATGCTCCCCCGGAAGAAAATGTTGAATATTCCATATTTTAAAGCATCAATCTGATGCATTTTGAGATGCATTTTTTTGCCAACCTGGGGAGAGCTGGAGAAACTTAACTTCAGCCATGAGTCAAAAATATTATGGCCTCCTTACTAAGTATTATCAGGGATGTAAACTCATCAGGTATGGAAAAGGTGACAAGGACCCGAGCCCCCCGACCCCACGGAATATCGGCTTTAAAATGAGGAATAACAGGATTTTAGCAGTCAAAACAACTAAAGCAGCAGTGTTAATAATAACAGAAACGCTAAAGAGTCACATCTTATAGAAATATATAAAAGCATTTATTTTAATTGTGTAGCAGTCAGTTTATAATTTTGGCAGCACTGTTGAGCATTTTGAAAATCTATTGTCATGCCTCTGTGCAAGGCTTAGTCTTTCTATCTTTATGGCATCTGGTGTAAAGTAACTAAATTCATAAACTCAAGTAGCCTACTATACTTGGGTACAATTTTGAGATACTTGTACTTTATTTAGGTATTTCAATGTTTTGCTACTTTGTTCTTCTTTTCCTCTACAGTTCAGAGGTAAATGGTGTACTTTGACTCCACTACATGTATTGATATCTTTAGTTACTTTACAGATGTGGATGAATGATGTGAAATCTAATCAAGTGTTGAATCAGACTTTAGTTCCACCTGGAGTAAATCCACAAGCTACCCTGCAGTATACAAAGTCATTCAGACTAGCTGCACCTTTACCAGCTTTGAGAACACTTTCATGATCAATCATTATAAAACATATCATATATATTATTCTGAAATGGACCAATCTGCACAACGACTACTTTTACTGTCGCTACTTTCACTATATTTTGATGAGAATACTTTTCTACTTTTACTTGAGGAACATTTTGAATGCAGTACTTTTACTAACAGAGTATT